ACTAATTCATTGCTTTCATTATCATTCTTTTGACAGATAGATCTTTTAATATTTGATGTGTCTGGCGGTGGACTCGAGATGGTACAAGACTTTATTACGACCAACGCTGACTTGAAGAAGCCTTATATGGTCAAGGTAAAGTGACATGTTACACTACTGTTTTGACTGACTTACTCTTTAATGATGTGTTGTTGTACGAACACTAAATTGTAGCTGCTTCAATGCTACAAATCTTCTTTAACATATTAACATCTCTATTTCCATATTAATGGTTATTTTCTCAGGATTTTAATCTTATTATTCATCTTCCTCAAGTGGTTTTCAGAGGGCTGAGGGCCAATTAGGGCAGTACAGATACAACACATTTTAGAGTAGTTTTTTTTGTGTATGTGTATACAGGGGTATGCTATAACGAATCTAATTGGTTCTAGAACCTTGTTCATTATAGCATTCGTTCGTTATCGGATTAATCCGTTCCAGGCCCCCAAATACAACCACTTAACACTGAAAAATATAATATAAAATTGTAAAAATTGTAAAAAAGTGCATAAATATGCATCTAAACCCCTGAAATAAAGAATATCATTAATATTTGTAATAAAAAAAAAAAAAAATAAAAAAAAATAAAAAAAATTAAATAATGTTCGTTGTAGGAGTTTCATTCGTTATAGCATTCTCAATTTTATAGGTAAAACCGTTCGTTATAGGAATATTCGCAGTAGGATCCGTTCGTTATAGCATACCCCACTGTACAGGGGTTCCCTTACTTACAAACTTCTAACTTACGAACGCCCGCTGATACAAACAGGGTTAAACTATAAATTTACAATATTTTATTTACCTGATTTTTACTTTCATTTACTGTATTTTGTCTTTCTATTTCTTCTTTTATCATAAATTAAGTGATTTTAGATGTACATAAGGACTTAGCCATTGATATAGTGGGATTTTAAACATTGTTCTGTAAGTACGATATGCACATAGCAGGTGCTCCGACTTGTGTACAAATCTGACTTAGGAACGGAACCTGTTTGTAACCTGGGGACCCCCTGTACTGGGAGGCAGTGTATCCGACACTGCTATAAACCACAGTAACTTCCCCCATCAGTAAAAATAGGTACCTGTTGACAATTGGGTAACCTGAAGGTGCCCACAAAAGTGAACTATTACATAACCCTGGATGCTATACTCTATAGGCAAGCACTGAATATGAAGTCGGCCACTGTACCCTGAGGATGACATTGTTTCCAGCTGATCTGTCCATCTTGAGACTTGTTATAATGTTCCTTCCTTTAAGACTTCTCCCATTGCTGTCTTTTTCTGTTTTTATGGGTTTATACTTAACATACATCATTCCTGATCCTTTAAGTACCGTACAGTAATTTGAAATTCTTGTACAATTTATGCAACGAATCGTCAAGTTTAAAACCTAAAACTCAACACTAATAATACACACTGATTAAATATTTCCCTTTTCAGACAGAGAGGCAAGTTAATGTACAAAATCTACAGATTAATATTCATTCTTAATCCTCCATGTATGTTAAGTGGAACTCTCTTCTATGCATGCACATTTTCAGCAACATTCAACCATCTGCAGTTTAAAACCATCACTTACTGCACTCTTATATTTGTCAAAAAGAAATGCCGACTCAGAGGTATTGAATCGTTGGTGAACCGCTTTTGCATTTATCTTGCATCAATACATCAAATACATAAAGAAAAACTGACATTGCAGAGTATTAAAATTATTTTCTTTTACTCACAGGTAATCTTGTACCAGGAGCCATCGGTGGTAGATGAGGCAGAGTTGGCAAATAACGCTAAGAGCTTCGGCTACACACATCTCCCCATCACCTCCGCGCACTTCCTCCTCCTGCACAACTCCCTCAACTTCGCTGTCAGTTGAAGTTCCTCCGCACCTTCTGTTACATGGAAGACAAGATCAAAACGAGTACGTACTTAGAAATATCGATATCATATCAAAGTCAGATACACAGAATATGTCAATAAATTCCAAGTGGGAATAGCATGATATAGATAATGCTACAATCTATCATTAACAATGTACCGTATGTACAGTACATTGAGTACAAAATGAGTATAGTAATATGCTGCTAAAAATTTTGGACTTTTCACAGAGAAAAGTCTGTATAACTAGCCTCAGTGGTCAGGATACTGTACTATGGTATTGATTGTTACGGAGTATTTCAAATAAATTCTTCTACCAGTACCCTTCACATACAGTAAAATACTTATTTTTACCTTATTATTCAAGTGTCATTTAAGGTTATCATATTGGAAACGTCTCATAGAGGATCATTATGGTATTGTAATCAACTCTTTAACACAAATAAAGATTATATCAAATACTGTGAGGTAGGAGGAGGGTCCATTGTGGGGTAAATGTGACCCCCCCCCTCCCCAAAGGGTCGCCTCACTTTGTCTGCTGTACTGCCTCATTCATACAATATTGTTTATTGTATTTGTTTTTCATTAATTAGTAGATACGTTACTGTAACAATCTGTGCTTATTAACACGTGTAACCTTCATATTCAATACAGTACAGTACTATGTATATACTGTACCTCATAGGTAAAATATAATGTAATTCAAGACATCTTCAGGTCGTAAGACCCACTAATCCCCCACCCAACAATGGGTGACCTGACATTGCATCAGGTCAGGTTAGTAACTTCACCCAATAATCTCCCACCCAACCTTCATCACTAGTGTTAAGACGTGACTATAGGGCATTTTTTCTCAGTTGAGAAGAGATGTCCCGCCCCCTCCTTAAGAGTTACAGCTGATTGGCGGTTGCAAATCTGTCCGTTTCGTCCTGAAGTAATGATGTACGGAGTACTGTATTCTAAATGAGATTAATCTTAACCATTGGGATGACCGTTTCTGACAAGAAAGATATGTAGCTAAATTATATAAAGATACAAACATTCATTATTTCAAACATAAGCATCTAGGAAGTTTATCACAAGGATTATACAGGTACATGAATTAACTGTTAAACTCTGGTAGCAAATTCAAGCTTTCGGAGGATGCATTTAATATAATCTTATTTTTACCCACATTAAGGCATACTAAGACAGATTACGTATCGGTAATACTATATTATGCAAAAGCTAAAATTTTAAAAGATCAGAATCACATTTAAATATTACATGGCCATCAGCAGAGGCTGGAAATATGACTGCAAACAACTTTAAATTTCCAGCCTCTGCTGACCATCGTGTAATATTTACATGTGATTCTGATCTTTTAAAATGTGTTTTTGCAAAATTTTATGAGGTTTCCAATGCAATAACCAGATTTCTCATATGACCATAGTTTTTTAGTAAATAGTAAACTGATTTTGAAATGGTAAAATCTTTTTTTCTTCTTATTTTATTATTTTTGTGCCTATGTTATATATTGATATAAATTATATCGCATCTTGTTGCCAAAGAGAATGGTACTGATAAAATTCATGCAAGTTTCGAGGGGCTTTTTTCTTAATTTTTTTATACACGCAGACAGGCGTTCGACTGCATAGCATGACTTATGGTACAGGTATATAGTACAGTGAACCCTCGAAGATCCGAATCCAAACTGGAGATTCGGACAAAAATTAGTTCTGGGCTGAAAGCCCTTAGAAAGAAGAAGTGAAGGATTTAAAGTTTATCTTATAAACTAATTCAGAATAAAACTTGCATTGCTGAAACCTTATAAGACAGCGAATAATTTGAATATAGACATTACATAGTTTGCGAAGAGATAAATTTTTAGTCCTTTAGTGTAGCACCACTTGAGTACGTGGCGTTGCTCAAAATTATGGCTTTTCAGAAAGTCTGTATAACTAACCCAGTGGTCAGGATAATATGTATTTTTGTTTTTTTTTATTTAACGTTTTTTTATATTCAACTGGAAGATTCGGACGATTGGCTTTTCAAGGTGGTGCTTCCTTTTAGTCCGGATCTTCCAGGGTTCACTGTATAATACAATAATAATAACAATAATAACAAAATATACCATAATAGCATAAATTGCATTACTGTACGTATAGTATAATATAAAATAAGATCATATAAAGTATAGATATCTGGGATTCAAACCAAACGTATGATTGTCACATAGTAAAAGAAATTAATACAATATCAAATAATAAAATGCAATATAAAATAACAGAAAATATATTATAAAATAAAGTCATTCTGTACGGATATAAAATAAGATCATTCTATACTCACATCCTTCAGCGAGGTGAAAGACTTCCATCTTGTTGATGGACTTTGGGGGAGGAAGTGAGTAAATGAGCCCAAATAAAATGTAGACCAAGAGTGAATGATTGTGAGTGAGTGTAGGAGTGTGTGGGAGTGTGAATGAGTGTGTGGGAGTGTGGATGAGGGTGTGGGAGTGAGTAGAGAAGGAAAAGAATTCCAATGTTGCATAGTTGATAAGTGGAGTGTGGGAGGTGGAAGGTGCTTGGGACTGTGGGAGGTATGTGAGGCAGTGGTGGACTACCTGGGTGGCAAGGAAGGGAGGCTTGCATAATGCAGGAGTAGGAGAGATGCTTGGGATGTGGAAGGTTGTGGTGAAGGAAGAGAGGTGGTACATTGTTAGTGTGGGGTTGGTGGTAGAGGGAGTCTCTGGTGGTGAGGTGCATAACGTGGATGTAACTGACACAATTTTTTCCTCAGATTCATGACTTTCTTTGTTGTCATCATGATCATCTTCACTACCAGGCCAAGCTCTTACATCCTCACTGTCCCTAAACAGGAGTTCTAGAAAATCATCCTCTTTTAGAGACTATTTTTGAGACTGTCACTATAACGAGGTTGTACAGCCTGATACAGTAATGGCTTTTGAAAACTAAACATTTCCTTGTAAATATGAAAGAAATTATTTCGGGGAGTAAAGTAGGGTAAGCACTGCAACCCAGGAGTTGAGGCAGCCCGCACAGTTATGGAAATTTAAATGAACGCTTCACACTACGGTCTGACTGTCAGGATAATACTGCGCATTTATTGTTCCGATCTTTCCTTCCTATGGACCCAGAGTGCCAATTAGTTTATATAAAGAGAAACTTTCACACTATGACAATAAATGACAAATTGTTGAAAACTTACTAAGAATTTTTTTAAGTTTACACCGATTTATGTCAATAAAGTTAGTCTATATCAGGAATATGACGTGATTCATGAGAGGGTTAATGTCCTTTAGGTTCAAAGAAATGAAAGTGGGAAAGGAAAGTAAACCAGCATTCTTATTGCCTTGTAAATGACTTACATTGTGTGGGTTTGTTACATACATGAAGTACATATGATGCAAGAACCGTACTAATACATGAATAAGAGATCATATTACAAACTCACTATCATCCAATTCATTTTATCACTAAACCACACTACTAACATGGTATAAATTAAACAAACATTTAGGGCATCAGCTACCATGTATGTGTCATTTCCTCTGGAGCACAACATTCCTCAGTCACACTCAGTAGTACAGTGTATCTCTTACATTCCTTTCAGATTCTTTTCAATCCTTATCACTAACTTAACAACACTTTAAACTTGTATTCCATTATTCTGCACTAATACTGTTCGTACTCTTGCCTCACAACACACTGCTGCTAAATATACCTGTACATCAAGATATTGGCAATACTTTGAGCAGCATTCTCATCTGGGAGGAAATATTGTTCACAAACAGGTAAGCTTATGAACCCTTTTTATATTTAGAAGGCATGTACTGTACTGATGAACACAATGACTACTACATTAGCAATATTTACTCTTCACAATAATTTTTGACTCCTCCTGTCTCTTCATCAGCTCTCTCACTGCCAAGACCACCAACTTCTGGAATACCTGACTGTAAAATGTCCAACACTTGCTGCCTTCTTTTGACTACAGTATGCACGATAATTTGAATGTAAATAATGATCTTAATCATTAAATACACAGTAGCTACAAAACATTCAGTTAATTCCTGACAGCATTCCAGTGTAGATTCAGCCATTATAACCTCCCTTATTCCACTTGGATACAATATATATATGTATATACTTACTCTATAAAATATTTCACATGCTCCTCTGAGGGAACTAAATACTGTAGTATATTTAAGGTCTGAGAATAAGATTTTTAGTATGGTATTAATATTTTGTACATTTTTAAGATATTTCCTAAGTGAATCCTTTAAAGTACAGTACTGCCTTACCTTATAGTCTTATTCTATACATCCTGTATTCTACTGTTCATTGTGGAATGGTTATGCTAATGTGTAAATTTAATATGAATAGTATTGTATATCACAATATGGGCATGGTCTCCCAGTAACACAGAAAACCTTCACACATTACACTGCATGCAAGCAAAATGCTAAGTAGACAGGGAAAAATACACATTAAAAATTGTTCTCTTCCCCTAATACTGTACTACCTAATTCTGCTCAGTTACCATTTCAACTACTTAATCTAAAAGTTATTGATTCTTCAAGAAAATAAACTGGTAAAAATAATTATCTACATGTGAGTAACCTGGAGACATTAAGATACAAATGTTGGAAAATTTTTCATGCAAGATGTTTTATGTACAGTAGCTATAAAAAAAGGCTTATATAGAGATAAAGGTGTATGTCTATATTGGCATTCCTTACATAATGTCTGTTCCCTTGGATGTATTTAAACTTGGATCACACAATGTTATAGAACTAAAAAGACTAAAACTATAAAATTTCGTGAAAATCAGGTTAAGAAAGTTTAGCCTTATCACTAAATTCTTTTTCAATAATGATTAATAAAAGAGTAACCCTTGCTTCTCATTTTAAAATATTCCTCTTTGTAATATGTGTAAACAAAATACCAAAGTTGCATAAATAGTTGTCTTGAAATGAAGAACTTGCAAAGTAAAGGCTAACTTTCTCATAAAACTATAATAAATTGCTCAGATGACCTCAAAAGGAGAAAAAATAATCATAATACTAGTTGGTCTGGACCAAGAACTCAATTACTAACGTTATAAAGAAACCTATAAAAATTAATATTACCAGGTACTTCAGAAATCTTTACCATTATAACAGCATCTATGTTGAAATATTTTCTGATGCTATATAAGCTGAACAGTTTTCAATATATTAAACCAAGATTAACCTTGTTTCCATTATTTGTTTTTACACGGAAGTAATTTTTTCTTACTGTACTGTACTGTATTTTTTTTTTTTTTTTACTTTAAAACCCCGAGTTAAAATAACTGTTACTTTTGAAAATGATTCACCTTAAAGAACATATGAAAAATGCCTGTTTCTGGCTCATAAATTTACTACATAATTCCTTCCTCCACATAAAGCAAAGATTATTATTACAGCTTCTTTGTCCGTTTCTAACAACTGTCCACATCAGCTAAATAATATAATTAAAAATAATCAACATAAAGATATTCAAGGGTAGCACAAAAAATTTTAATATAAAATCCATAACACATGATACTTAACTAATATCAATGGGAAAAAGTACTAGTCAGAACAAAGGCACCAGACATAATTTTCTCAATGATTTGTTATATATTATTAGACTAATACAATACTGTGTATTTCATGATTATAGTAAATGAATCCTCAGTTCTGGTGAAGGATAGCTGAGGGTGTACAGTAATTCTTAATGAAGATGAATTTCCATAATTACTGTTCTGTACTAAACTGGTCACAATCTGGGAAAAAATAAAATAAAAATTCTAATACTGGTAATGTACTTGCAATGAACATCTGATTTACATAATACAAACACAAAGTAACAACAAAATGACTGTGAGGGCTCTACAATAAAAGTTTCCCTCATTTGACGATGGGGATGCGTTCCTGAAAACCCAACTTCATGAAAATTATAGCTAAACAAGGGATAACGAGGAATAATATCTGTGGAGATAGCATGTTACCATTGTTACATGCAATGAAACTATAAAAGTTGTGGAATAATCATTACAATACTTTAATGTGGCTTAGAAATACTGTTAAGGAAATATAAAATAAGAAAAAGAAGAGTCTGGATATGTACAATTTGTGTGTGAAATGAACTTATGTGTGGATATGGCATGTGCCAAGCTAGACTCACTGGAGCTACATCCCCCTAGCCCTTCCCCTACCAGGCCAAGCTGTGTTATTGTAATTTTCAACTATAGTGCATTTTTTCCCAGATGAGAAGAGATGCCCCACCCCTCCTCAAGAGTTACAGCTGATCGGCTGTTGTAAATCTGTCCAATTTCGTCCTGAAGTAATAATGTATTTCTAAATCGTTGGGATGACTGTTTCTGATGAGAAAATTATACACAGATACATACATTCATTATTTCAAACATGAGGACGTAGGTAAGTTTATCAGAAATGTTATACATGAATTAACTGTTAAACTCTGGTAGCAAATTTAACTTTTCGGAGGATGCATTTAATATACTGTATACAGGGTACTTTCTGTATTTTTATCCACAATAAGGCATACTAAGACTAATTACGTATAAGTAATGCTGTACTACATGAATCAAGAGAAGTGTGTGACTTCGGACTGAGCATGCCATGACGTAACATAGGGTGCTGTTCTCACAGTTGCAGCTCACTGCCTCAATACTGTACATACATTCACTTCTCACACATACACACCCATACTCTTCATTTTTCTTATTTTTTAGTTTTATTTTACATTTTCTTTGGATTTCTAAGCCACATTAGAGTATTGTAATGATGCTCACCTGGAGCACAGAATCCCCAGTTTTTCCCGACTTCCCTTCCAAGGTTTTCCCAGTTGTGTCAGACATTGCTAAACCGAATTTTGACCAATTGTAAAAAAAAAAAAGTGTTAAATTTTTTTATCGCTAATGAATGAACGTTAACGATGGACACCTATACCCACCACTGGTTCCTAAGCCTAAGAAATTTTTTAAATGCACAGTAATTTGGTATCAGTAATTTGCTAAGACTTAAAAATTTTCATAAAAAAATCCAATTTTCCTTTACACGAAAACCATATATAATGTTGAGGTACACACTGTTAATTCTGAATTATTGTACATAACTTGATTAAAAATACACAGGGTATTGTATATAAAAATTTTTTTTGCCAAATGCAATATGTCGAATACCTAGTAAATAGTAATATGTTTTTTGAGTTTCCACAGATTCACACAAGATAAAACACATATCAAGGAAGCATTATAAGCACCAGTGATTCATTTGGTGTCATTATAATGAATGGATGGCACAAATACACATGGATAAAGAGAAATCACTTGTCACACACAACAAATAGCAGAAGTAAAGACACGGGCTTGTGGAAGATGCGGGAGGCATGGGGGGTGGGTGGGGGTAACGTTCAGTGAGTATCTCTCCAAAAGATGGCCACCCCAGCTGACTCCCAGGGTGCAAGATTTAAATTTTTTGCCGGGACTCAAATTCATATAAGTGGGGAAGCTTTTGCATCTCGAAATATTGGCGTCAATTTTGGAAATTCATTTGAGAGAATATTCCTAAAGCAAGAGATACATGTACTGTATACCCATGCAAGTTAGTACTACTTGGATGGGTGACCATGTGGCCCTAACACCAAATGCTCCTAGCTTAAGGAGTCTACTGGAAACCAGCCTCTCATGGCTATGCCAGCTGTCTTTGGTCACTGTCCACAGTTTTTACTCTATACCATTTCACCAGCCAAGACATTGAATTTTGAGTATCCATGGATTGGTGTGACATCTTTATCCCTCTGCGGTCTAATGTTTTCCTCCGCAAATGTGAGGAATGAAAAAAAAAATACTACTACTAATACAGTAGAAAAAAAAAAAAAGGTGTTTTTTTCTAAATGCCAGTTTTTGTGATATAGCTTGAATGTGACGTCAGCTGAAAGTGAAATGTAACAAAAAAATTATTATTTATCTCAAATATTAAATAAATCCACAGTAAATTATATAAAAAAATAGTTAACTAAAGATAAAACTAAAAGACACATAGCATTACACAAGTTTATTTGCATATCTTTCTATTGAGATTAATCAATAACTGATTCTTAAAATTATGGCTGTTCAATCCGAATCTTTTAGGCCAAAATAAAAGCCCAGTATGACCTACTGAAATTTTCAGCCGTTCTTCTACAATCCATCGCAGGGATGGTGAACGGGCTGAAGAAATAACCATCCAACATTATGATCACTTTCTTCCTTATCCACACAAGTATTGTCGACATGGACTCATGGTCTGCAGACATAATGTTGAATCTGGTCGCATTTGGTTAGGATACAGACCTGTCTGGCATTCATCTGAGATGGGGAATGATCTACACTTCTCTTCCTGTAAACACTGTAACTGTCCCAACACTTTGGTGGATGCTAACACCCATTGTCCTTAAATCATATCAATATTGCCTCCATATCACATGTCATAGCATGTCCTGTGAGACACGAGCACCAATGTACTAATGTCTGACTGTATAGATTTGTGACTAGGCTTGTTGCCCCTGGGTGTAATAAATTAATTAAATAATAAATAATAAGTCCAGCATGACTAAACAGATGCTTGAAGGCAGCAGATGCAGCCAATGGGGTGTTAGTGACAGAGATAAGTTGCATAATGTCGGGAAAGACCCCAATCGCTCCATTCCATCCCCAGTCATTCAAAGTAGCTATCAAGCTCCTTCAGTTGAGAAGTTTGTGGATGATTGTTGCCTCCATAATGACCGAGTCTGATTAAAACTCACTTTGAACTGTCCCTCTAACTGGGGGTGTGACTGTGGTGATGTCACTCTTCGATTCAAATTGAGGACTGGCTGAGTTTTTTGCTCCATGTAGCATATGGTGGGTGCTGGCAAAGGTGGGTTATTTAACTATTTAAGCAGAATTTTAAATATGCTCAGTCTCACACACATGTAAAGATGCAGGCTTAATAGCTAAGATGGAATTATGTAAAGTATTTTAGAATCACAGCCTCTTTAAAATTCATTTTAGGTACAAGTAAAGTAATACCTCTCTAATGCGGACTAATTGGGGGAAGGGGTGTCCAGGATAAGAGATAGTTCACCTTAGAGCAAAATTTTCCTAAAAGACCGATTAAAAAAAAAAACACACACACACACGAGTACACCACCAAGTTTTATGAAAGAAATACATGTTTGTTTGTTTTTAATAAAATTAATTTTAAAAAGTAATGTACATAATGTACTGTACACTACCTTTTAGTTCACTGATAAGGTCTTAGGCTTAACCTTTTCACCACCCTTACAGATACCAAACACTTTCCAGTGGTGTAAAATTAAATGAAAGGGAGGGAACTTACTTATTGTCGGGTGTATCTACAGATCCCCAAACTGTGGCCCACTAAATCAAAGGAACTTAAGAACCTTAATAAACAACACGGCGATGCTCAACCCTAGCCACCTCCTTATCATGGGGGACTTTAACTATAGCGACATCGACTGGAGAAACGAGTCCACCCCGAATGACTTGAATAATCCTGCTACTCTTTTTGTAGAAACTCTGGGAGATAATTTTCTGTTCCAACATGTTAGAGACCCGACACAGTACAGAGGGGCGAAACACCAAGCCACTTGACCTCATCATAAAAAATGAGGAGGATATGGTGGCCAAACTGAAACACATTGCCCCAGTTGACACCAGTCACCATAATTATAGTGTTGTCATTCAGATTTAACTGTTACCTAGTTCAAGATAAGGCCAGGCCAAGGTGCAAATATTACAAGGGAAATTACAACGGGATGAGGGAAGAGATGAGGGGTATCCACTGGCCTGACTCATTAAGGCACAAGAACGCAGACACTACGATGAATATCATAACTAGTAAAGTGACCCATTCGATCAATAAATATACTGTATACCCAAGACCAAACCCAGTGCCTCTAGGAATATGAGGGGATCCCTACACAAAACCATGAGGCGGTCGACAAAGTAAAGAAGAAAACCCAGAAATTCAAGACGTGGTGGGGTCAAACGATGAGCAGGATAGGAGGATGTGTGCAAGAGCCAGAAACCAAGCAAAGGTAGAATGTAGAAGGGCTGAAAAGGAGTTCCAGAGGCTGGTTGCAAGCGAGATCAAGTCAAACCGAAAGGCGTTATACTGCTATGCAAAGTCGAAATTAAAAATGCAAGTAGGAGTATCAGATCTGCGGCTTAAAGATGGTAGTTACACAGATTCTGACCAGGATAAAGCTGAGGCATTGAACAGTTTCTTTTCCTCTGTTCACAAGAGAGGATGCGATTAACCTTGCTGCGTTTGAGGACAGACGGTTCGACACAGCACTGACCCACATTGTATTCACAAAAGAGGGTACAATATTAGAAATAGACTGTCAAAGCTAAAGGTTCATAAGAGTCCCAGCCCTGACATGGTGCATCCTATAGTGTTAAGAGAGTTGTGCAACGAGCTTGCCGAGCCCCTGAAGATCCTGTTTTGTAAATGCCTGGATGAACAAAAGGTCCCCAGTGATTGGAAAGTGGCTTATGTGAGTCCTTTCTTCAAGAAGGGCGATCGTTACTCCACGAACAACTATAGACCGGTGAGCCTGATCAGCATAATATGTAAAGTACTTGAGAGCATTATCAGAGATGCCGCAATGGAACATCAACTACGAAACGATCTTGTAAAGGATTACCAACACGGTTTTATGTCGGGGCGCTCCTGCTTAACACAATTGCTCAAGGTATTGGATATTTGGACCCATATTCTGGAACATGGTGGTAATATCGACAATATATACCTAGATTTTTGCAAGGCTTTCAACAGTGTGCCCCACGAAAGGCTGAAAATCAAACTGGAAGGGCACGGAATTCGGGGAAATGTCCTAGCGTGGATAGAAGACTTTCTACATGACCGCAAGCAGTGTGTGGTGATTAATGGCACAAGTCACAGGGCAAACTTTTTCGGAGTGAAAGTTGAACTCTTGGAACAATCTACCAGAAAGTGTTGTGACGGCACCGAGTGTGAGCTCTTTCAAGACCAGACTTGACCAACACTGGAGCAGGTTCAGGTACATTCAGGAGCCGGTGCATGCCCAGTACTTGCCAACAGTGCGTAACAGAGATGTGACCGATCGCCCAAGCGGCTAATGAGCCGATCAATGGAGAAGAGGATAAAAGCTAAAAAGAAGACTTTCCCTTTGATCTTCTTGTGTCCATTAGCCCCTTGACCCTCCCCCATTGATTCTTCTTCCCCACCTTTCCATTAGATATTGGTTGCTCTTTGCATATACCTGTACCTAAAATGAATTTCAAAGGGCTGTGATTCTAAAATGCTTTACACAATTCCTTCATAGATATAAAGCCTGTATCTATACATATGTGTGAGACTGAGCATTTTGTGGCCATTTTGAAGCTATGTGCACTTAATATTATAATAATATTCTATCCTAATTCACTTGAATAAATACTACGATACCATATTTCTGAATATTTTTATTAAAATCCATCAAAATCATAATATGATGTGAGTCAGGTCATCTACACACAGTTGCCAGTTTCAAGATTTTCCGTTTAAAATTTAAAGTTACCGAGTATTTCTTTTCCCAAATCGTTTTACAATACTGTAGGTAAAACAGTTTACTTTTGTGCAAACCCCACAGAATTTTTTTTACAGAAATGGAGACACCAAAAATGTAAAAAAAAAAATGCTGTCTGAATTGCAACACTGTTGGTAGGGTCAGGTGGTTCTAACGGCATCCTGTCAGTACCCGGTAATCATATTTTTAACGGTGTCTAACCTCAATTACTGTAGTTTATCTAATGTAGGCAATATGAAGTAGAAAATACCAGTTAAAGTGAGAAATTGGAAGAGAATAAACAACAAAGATGTCGTTGGGCTATTTTTGGTAGGGCTGAGGGAGAGAGTACCAGCTGTATGGTCCATTTTGGCGGGAGAGTCACGCAAATATCCGTACTGGTATTTGTTTGGTGTCATCTGTATTTTTAAAAATGAATACTTGTAAACTAAAGGTACCGTAACATTGTATTATATACAAACTTGTCATATTTCTGAAAATATGAAGCAAGAAAATAAGAATATACCGGTAAACACAATTTCAACGTACACTAAAATCAAAGGCTGCTTAAGAAGGGCCGATGCAAAAACAAAGCCTCCGCGACCGGGGCTCTGTCGTATCAGCTAGACGGTACACGTGTTTTTCGAACCTTTTTCAGTTAAAAAACTGTTACATCACAAGTGAATTAGGATAGAATATTATTGTAATACAACAGTTTTTTAACTGAAAACCATTCGAAAAACATCTTTTGAATGAAAGACAGCAAAAATATTACATTTCCATATTCTCAGAAATAAACAGTAGTTTTGCTGAAAAGTGATGTATTTCAATGTAAATTAGGATAAACTACATGACAAAACAAAAAGACTTTACCTAACCTTCCGATGTTCAAGAGATGTTACTCGTTTTTTTAATAGTTTTCGGTTAAAATACTGTTATAATAGTGATATTCTATTCATACTGTGTTTGATATAATACATTCACGGAAATGTAATATTTTTGCTGAAATGACGCACAGTACGTATTACAGTGGAAAGTGGATAAAAACTGTTGTATTACAATAATATTCCCTCCTAATTGACTTGAATAAATACTTGAATGGAAATATACAATATTTTGTTGTTCCATTACCCTCAAAAACTTTCAAGTCGACCTATAAACGATGAATATCATAAATTAACAATTTCTTGGTAAAAAAATCAGGGTCGACCTATAAACGAGGGAGGGTTATAGACGAGTATATACAGTGTGTGTGTGTGTGTGTGTGTGTGTGTGTGTGTGTGTGTGTGTGTGTGTGTGTGTGTGTGTGTATATCATTGTATTATATGAGGACATTTGGTCATTACTCCCAAAGATAAAATACAACTGATGGTATAACACATCTGGATATCCAACTGCTGCCAGATATCCAGAACTGTAACTGGCTTTTGTGATACCTGTATACTGGCTATCCAGCAATTATGCTATCTGATACATCCCTAGCTAAGGCCTGTTAAAGTCTACAGTGTAAAATAAAAATGTGTAAGTTTCTATTCCACAAGCAGCTTATACAATGGCAGCATTCACAGTGCCACATTAGAAGGTTTATGACACATTATGTGAACCAACCAGTCCTACCTTAGCTCTGTAGTCCGGCAATTTGTTCAGCATGGTTCTTGTAGAAAAGAACCTGCAAAATAAAAATAATAAATAAAAAATTTAGATATTGATTAATAGTATCAATTAGTGAGAAACAAAACTGAAGTAATATAAAATAAACATAAATGTTTCAGGTTAATAATGACTCTGTCATGCTAAATATTTCATTACAATTTCTGTATCAAGACAATTATTTCATAAGAAGATTGTCTGGTGCGTGAAACTTGTTATAACACAGTAATTCCCTTACCTTCACATTGCTACATTCTGAAATACATCTTCCAAGGCACAAATTGTGCAATATATTAACCGGTACATTGCTGCAAGATATAATTAAAAGACATTCCAGTGCCAGCAAAAAAATAATAAATAAATGAAATAAATAAATAAAATAAAATAAATATATAAATCTTACAGAAATTGCCGCAATGACTGAATATTATTATAATTTACCACATATGCCAATCAATAACACAATATTTGCAATAGACACACATATCATACTTAACCTCAAAGGTCTGATGTCGTCACAGAACTCCGGATGTACTACGGGACTGATGTCGTCAATCTAGCACTTAATTTTTTAAAATTTTCCTGCATGAGTAACGTGACTATTATTGCGGCAATAGCTCATCCCGCTCACCGACACTTCGCCTTGACCGCATCTTAAGCAAATAATCAGTAGAACAATTGTCACCATGGAGGAAAGTCGCACGTCTACCTCTTGGGATTACCCAATTAGAACTCCAGGTCCCAAGCCTTGGCACCTCGAGCCGCAGAGTTCAACGTCACCTGAAATACATTATTTCCAAGCGATAGATATTCAGAAAGTAACGATTCTGAACTCGCCAGTGGGGCAGAGTGAAATAGATGATCCGGACAGTGAGTGGGGAGATGCGGCGCCCCAGCTCCCACCCACGCCAGCCTACCCACGCACAAAGGTTGCTGCCTCACCTACCCCAACCACTCTGCCACAGGCTGCATCTTCTGCCCTACAACATCTTGGACCTACTGTTCCACAACAGCCTGGACCTCCTGCTAAGAAACAACGTAGAGGCCCACAAATGCGTGGGAAGAGATGGCTTTCCCCACATCAACATGCACCTACCGGTACTCGCACACCACAACCTGTACCAGCTCATGATTTTGTGTGGCGTAATTGCCAGAATTATGTGACAAATACTGTAGCTGCAACTGTGGATTATGATAACAGATACTTGGAATATTTTTATATGTTTTTTGATGAGGAATTGATCAGTGATATTGCAAGTGAAACAAATATGTATTTTGTTTTTTGTGGTGATGTAGTTCCACATGGCTCACCTGTACAGCACTGAAAAGACACCACTGTAGCTGAAATGTTTGTGTTCTTGCATTAGCAATATTCATACCACCATCAAAGAAACACTCAATGGTTGAGTACTGGTCCAAAGACATTCTAATCCCAACACCTGTGTTCGGCACGCGACAGGGCGTCCTCGCTTAACGTCGGAGTTACGTTCCTGAAAACGCAACGTTAAGCGGATCAATTTTCCCCATAAGAAACAGATAAAATATGGGAGTTACGTTCCTGAGCCTCCCTTTGCCCCATGAAATACATTACAAATACGGAAAATCATTGTCATTTCTATAGAAATAGTACATAGAACTACTGTACAATGCCAAGTTTGTATTGGTACCCCTAGCGCGGAGGTGGTAGCGCAAGTGTGTGGTGGGTAGTGAGCGAAGGAGGAGGATGGCGGGAGCGGAAGAGGGTGGGAGAGGAGCAGGGTGGCGAGTTACCGAGACTGCAGCTGCCTGCTCTGACTGGGAATCCTCCATCACTGGTTGCTCCTCCTCAGCTGCTGGCTGTTGTGAAGAAGCTCCTTCTGCCTTCCCGCGACGTAAAAATTAATCCAGTGTTGACTGCTTGGTGCTACTCACCTTCTTAATAGATCTCGGTATAGCAACCAAGACTGTCCTCACCCCATGTTGAACCTTTGAGATACGTTCTCTGTTTGGGTTGTCATCTAGAAGCATTTACATTGGTTGCTGGAACATGTTCAACGATTCTGCCAACCTCTTTGAAGTTAGCATTCGTTGAGATTCTTCTTCATTGTTGTCGTCGTCGTCGTCTTCAACGGGACTGTGTTCTGTTAATTGTTGCAGTTCTTGGTTGGTGAGCTCTTCTGTATGGGATGCCAGGACGTCCTCAATATCCTCTGATTCCAGCTCATCAAAGCCTGTCTGTCTAGCCAAGCTGAGGATATCTCTATTCACTGCTGGGACTAAGTCCACGAATCCCGTAAAACTGTTAAAGCACTCAGGCCACAGTTTATGCCACACACCATTCAGACAACTTTCTGAAACCTCTTCCCATGCCTTGCCAATGTTGTCAATTGCATGAAGAATGTTGAAGCTGCGCCAGTATTCGGATCGTTGGTTTATTTTCTCCGTCTGTAGCCTTGAGCAGCTGCACATATGGTACGGCATAAATAATTATACGCCTTGGTCCATAGGCTGCATCAGTGCTGTCGTGTTGGGACACAGGAATACAACTTTTACAATGTCATGCAAATCGTCCAGAGTGGGAGGATGAGCTGGAGCATTGTCAAGGATCAGAAGAATTTTGAAGTTAAGGTTCTCCTTGGCACAGTATTCCTTCAGTGCAGGGACGGCGTACACGTTTAACCACCGGCTAAATATGGTGCCGGTTATCATGCCTTATCGTTTGCCTTGTAAATGACAGAAAGGTAATCCTTAGAGTAACCTTTCAGGGCCCATGGGTTGGCAGTGCGAGAAATCAGCAAAGGCTTCAGCTTCAAGTCACTGGCAGTGTTCGCGGCCAAGCAGACTTGCTTCGGTGAGTAACCTCCTTGCTGGATAATCAGTTTGAATTCTGGCGGGAATGTCTCGGCAGCAACTGTATCTGAACTAGCAGCTTTGTCAGTCATCTTAATATTGTGAAAGTTATAACGATGCTTAAATCGTTGAAACCATCCTCAGCTGGCCGTAAAGGTCTCTTCCTTTGATCCTTCTCCCTCTTCTGTCTTTAAGTCGTCAAACAAGGATCTGGCCTTATGCTGGATAACCATAAGGTTCACAGGGGCATTGTGTTGATTCTGGTCCTCCATCCACATTGCCAGCATCTTTTCCACCTTCTCTATCACAGTGCTTCTAGTATGAGTCGTCTTAGTAGCACTCAGAAAAACACTTCCAGCACTAACCTTAATCTTGTCAGCGTTGGTCCGGATAGTACGCACCGTTGTGGGGGTTAGACCAAGCACAGCAGCAATGTCCACAGCACGTTCCCCTTTTTCAAATCGGTTAATACAACCATTTTCGTAGCAAGGGTAATGGTCTTACATTGCCTCTTCACTAAACTAGCATCAGTAGCACTTGATGGGCGCTTGGAAGCCATTTCGAATGGTTAGAGTACAGTTTTAGAGCAAAAACACTAAGCACGCACGAATGATGTGAAGTCGTAACAGAGAATGGCTTAGAAGTCGCTTAGGGACGCTCCGCGAGTGAGGGCAGCACGCCGAGCCGAGAGTGTATAGCGAGGCCAGACAAGAGCGGGTGATGCGCCATAGAAAGTAGTCCGTGACGACACAAAACGACGTAGTATCGGATCACCAGGACGCTAAACAAATTTTAGGTCTCTAAAGTTCAGTGACGTACAGAAGAACAAAATTAAAGCGACAACGTTAAGAGAGGACTTACTGTACATGTCTCATAACAGGTTCAAGCTCCTATTGAATTATCTTCACTTTACCAATAACACCACCATGGGCCGTAGTGACCCATTGTCCAAAATTAGACCAGTGTTTACTGCATCGAAAAACAATATTAAAGACCTATTTTTACCATTCAAGAACCTGGTAATTGACGAGTCTCTTGTCTTGTTCAAAGGCCATCTTGCATTCAAGTAATACATTCCAAGCAATTGTCATCACTTGGGAATCAAAGTGTTTGTTTTATGTGACTGAGACGGGAATTGTGCTTGATCTTATTGTGTACACTGGAGTTACAACTGATATTCCTCCTGATAATAAGACTGGCATTTCAATGGCAATTGTAAAAAAGATGATAGAACCTTATCTTGGGAAGGGGCACACCTTGTTACAGATAATTGATATTCTAGCCAAGACTTGTGTATATTTTTACATGTTAACAACACTGGTTCATGTGGTACAGTGCATAGAAACAGGAAACACATGCCAGTGTTCAACAAACTTGTAAAGGGTCAAGTGGAAAAAGATGAGAACAAAAACCTATTGACAATATGTTGGAAGGACAAAAGAGAAGTGACAATGTTAACAAATGTACATAAGGGGGAGATGACTGATTCCAAGAAGATCAACTACAAGACTGGGAACACAATCATGAAGCATGATACCATGATTGAGTACACACTGAACATGCTTTCGGTTGACAAGAGCGACATGCAGATCAGTAATATTAAATCCAAGCAGAAATCTGTAAAATGAGACAAGAAACTGTTTTTCCATTTGGTTAATGTAGCTGTACTTAATTCTCATAACTATTACCTAGTATAGAATGGCAAAAAGATCAAGCTAAGAGAATTCGTGTATGATGTTGTGTACCAGGTTCATGAAAAATTCGGCACAGTGAAGTCGGGAATTCGTGGTCGTGCTGCATTCCATCCACTTGGCCTTGACCGCCGTGCTACATGAAACTACATGGCCTGTCATTATATTGAGGTCATACCACCTCCAGAAGTACAAACAAACACCAAGTCAAGGGTCAGCATCGCTGCATGGAGTGTTCATATAAGTCCAAATGACCTATGATAAAGAAACTTACAACATGGATGTGTGCCGAATGCAAAGTGCCACTGTGTATTCTAAGTTTCCCTGAGTTCCACTAAAACACACTTCTAACCCAAAAGAGTGTTGTGAATGTACTGTATATAGTGTAATAATAAGGAACTATGTGAAGGTGTTGTAAGAACATGGAGTGTATTGGTACCGCACCACCAGCACATCTGAGGTATGATGTCTCGCCGACTTCTCCAACTTGCCAACAACTATAGGTGGTGAGTACAGTAATAATTATGTTATTTCTTATTAGTCGGGCAGAATAACCCAACTATTTTAACCGAATATGCATTTTGTGATAAAAGCACCAAATTTGGCACACATTTTGACTTATATATACTGTAGTGAACAGATCTGGATATGATGCCACCGCAGATTTAGCTGCTGACAGTCGATGCAGCCATTTACCTAAAATGGCCACCAACAATTACTGAAATTTTACCTAATTGCCCTGCAGAAGTGTGACTGTATGTTGGCAGTGGAGTTTAATTCACTGCAAAGAACTAAAACTACTTAGTGAATCATTTTATTATATTTGTATAGAAATAATTAGACTACAGGTAATTAGAAATAATTAGAGTAATTAGACTAATTGGTAAAGCGGCACTGTATATTCTACAGAAACGTGCCAATGATCGCTTCTGCTTGCGAGAAGTTGACCATACCGAATATCTGTCCAAGTTCAATGCCTGGCACAAGAAGAGAGAAGAAGACACCCCTATGTTCCAGTACTGGTCAACAGTGCTAGAACTAGAGCTGTTGGGACTGGTGTATGTGCATTCTCTCTAATCCTCATTCATCATGTACCTTAATGCACTGATAGGACTGGCCCCATGGTTCCATGCCCTAGACCACACTAACAATGCAAGGTGGGTCCCTGTTCACCTAAGGGACATGACAGAACGAAAAAGCACCTAGACGTAGCCAGAGTTCAATGCTGGCAACTTCACAGTGCAGAAGACGAGGAAGGTATTCTCATCAATCCCGATTGATCAGGTTCTAGAACAGAACAACGCCTACATCAAAGAGATGGAGGAGCTGTGGGCCTGACAAACAATCCCAGAGCCTCTCGGCGTTGGATGATTTCAGGTCAGAAGTTGTGAGAGTGATAGAAGAGTTCAAAGATGAGCACCAGTACTGGAGCAGGCAGAGACATTCACCATCATGACCAGATTCCCAGTGTGCAAACTTCATTCATCAAAGATGTCCACTCCCTTTTCCTATATAAAGTGATAATTTTTTTATTTCCGAGCGAATTCGGGCAGGAAATATTTCAAATGTACCGCCATGACAAACAAATGCGTTATTTGCTCACCAGAGGCACCACCATGGCTGTTCACTCAAGCAATCACGCTCGCCCGCTCAGTCTTTCTGAGTGAGTGACGAGAAAGCAGCCGACTGCTGCAGATTACGCATTCTAAGATGAGTGTAAATGGGTTTCTAATGCGCTGTGAAGATAATGGAAAGCTTAATGGAAAAGATTTATTACTGTAACTAATATTTTTGGTTTGTTCGTTTATGATTGTTAAGTGAGGGTGGCAGTGTGTCGTCTGTTGTTCTCAGGATGACACGTCAGCTGCCAAGTCCGGTGCAGATTCAAATTTCTAAAGTGAGTGTAAATGGGTTGCTAGTGACGTGAAATAAGTGAAGATAATGGAAAGCTTTAATGGAAAAGATTTAATACTGTAACTTATATTTTTGGTGTTCGTTTATGTAGGTGTGGGATTGTCAAGTGAGGGTGGCAGTGTGGCGTCTGGTGTTCCCAGGATGGTGCATCAGCTGCCGAGTCAGTGTTCCTTGATATTGATATTGAAAAAGCCTGTTGTTCCCACGACTAGTGTTCATTGGTGCTTTAGTTAGTAAAAAAAATGAACTCAGTCAAGTTTAGTCACCTTTTTTGGCCTCAGGAACGTAACCCTATTTTCCCCATTGATTACATGTAATTATATATCGCGATTTGGTATATAGCGAACATCGTTGGACCCTATCTCGCGATATATCCCGACCCTACTGTACATACACACACACACACCTACCTATTCGTACAGAGAGGTTTACCTGTATACCTACAACTGCATGGCAACCAGTCTACCCAAAGATAAATGCCCAAAATATATTAAAGAAGGCATTTGCCTACTAAAAAATAAACATGCCAGGAATACATCTAATCAGCAACACCAAGTGACTAAAATTTGAAAGAGCTAGTTCTGTTACCCAGTTTTTAACTATGGGCATGTCTAAAAGTGCATTCACACTTTTGCACCTAATTGGCAAGTGACACCTGGAAGCACTATGCCCCAGTAGTGTAGGGAAAATTATATTTTGGGATTTTTAGTCTGTCATGCACATAAATATATGTGCTACCTGTATGAATTGCTTCATCTATTTCACGAGTTAATCCAAAGAAACCTCAAAAATTAAAATTTGGGATAAATTATCCAAAGCTTGAAATCCTTAAAACCTAACAATTTTAAGCAGAAGTGTCCAAAACTTTACACACGGTATCAACAGTGTGTGTTACTTCAACCCAAGCACACAGGTGGTGGGTTAGTTCCACAGCCCAGCTTCCAATAAGTGCAGGGGTGCTGTAAAATTTTAGTTTTAACTAATTTTGTGGCTCAAATACATCTAGGTTTATATTACACTCAGTGTCTTGAACTTACAAGAAGTGAGGGTGTACATACATTACACTCAAAAAATGTTACAGAGTAGAAGTGCATTCTGCTCGCTACATGTGAATGCCATCCAGGCTGACTCCTGGTGGGGTCATTCTTGCCACTCAGTAGCCAACACGTTTTCCTCATCAAACATGTAATTTTACATTTCTCGCAGGTGGTTTTACTATTAACTGTGTATATAAAAGAAGTTAAGAGTGAATAATATTTCTTTCAAGTGAATTTTTGGATATCTTAACCCATCCTTCCTCCCATACAGGTCACATAGTAAAGGTTTGGCTTTGGGTATAGATAACTGATAATGTGCCATAACAATAACTTACCTTTGAATGAAGATAGTGCCAAACATAATGTGCCAGCTTCATAGAATTAAGTTCTATTTCTATATGTCTAGGTCCATGTACTTGAATTGTTACTATCTTATGTTTATATTTGAGATCCTCTATACCATTCCAGCTAAATAAAAAAATAATATTAGGAGAGTGAAGCATAATAAGATAGAGAAAATCAACCATTGAGCAACAATAGGAGAATAAAACATTATAAAGATAGAAAACCTCAGCCAATGAGTAACATTAGGAGAATGAAGCATTACTAAGATAGAGAACACCAACCAGGGTATCGTCATCTTGTCTGGTCCCTAAGATATGCTCAAGATTGTAAGTTGATTGAAAATGTCCATAGGAGAGCCACCAGGTTGGTGCCTGGACATTGGGACCTCAGGGACCCTGAGTGATTAGAACACCTGCAGTTACCAAGCTTATACGGTATTATAGATGGGCAAGGGGCGACTTAATAAACGTTTATAAATACCTCAAGGTAAATTACTCAGTCAAGTGTTCATACCTGCAGCTGGCAAATACCCGCCCTACTAGGGGTCACTGTATTTAAATCAAACAACCCTCCTGAGGCCTCTCCCAGTATCACTTGCCCTTCAAGTGCAAGTGATAGTTTGTCTGGCTCTTCAACATGCAGTCCTAGTGCGAAAAAACCGCAGCATGTCGTCGTTGAAAAGGAAAAAAAAAATTATTTGCACATGTGATATCTCGGCCATCGCAGTGTGGCTTAACTCGTAACCGTTCACCTCCCTCACAAGTGCACACTACCCCGTACTCCCACTAAAACTAGATTTAGTCGCCTTGTTCAGACTAAGTATGGCACTGTGGGGCACGGAGGAGAAAGGGTGGGAGAGGGGAGGAACATCACCAAGTGCTCCAGCGTTTAATAACATGTAAGTACAAAAATGTATACATTATTTTTGTATTTTTTTTATGCATTACATTTAACTTATAATTTACAATTATTATTTCATGTGAATTTTGAAAATAATAAGCATTTATGAACCCATTATGTATAAGCTATGTAAAAAAAAATAGAAACTTTGAGCAGGGAGTATTCACATTTGGGAGCTTAAGCTATGTACTACAATTTGTGATATACTTGCACTTACAAATAGATTTAATCATTTCATTGTGATTACCTATATAAAACTATATGTATATAATGTATTTACAATGCTACTTCAACAAACCCAACCTTTTTTATCTTGCTATGACTCGACACAGTTATCTTTTGTGTTTGGAGGGAAAAGCCGTTTTTTAAAACCATTTTTAGTGATATAGCCCAGAAACTAGCTTATACCTAGGTATGTAAATGCCTAGCAATAACTCGCCAGGCTAACATACAGGCAATTAAAACATCTAATAATTATAAATTTAGGACACATATAACTGGCATTTAATTGCAATTCTCAAACCCCCTTCACCCCCATCATAGCTGATCTATATTTAACCAATGATTGTTCATCAAACAAAGCAGGAGAAAGAGGGGAAGAACGTGTAAATAAGCACTACCACTTTGAATTTTCCTCGTAGTCCAATCACTAACTTAGTCAGTAACTGACACTTCATAAATGCAGACCAAATATCTGCTGCCAGATTTCCTAATTTTAAATTCTTCAAGCTAGGCGTTGCACTCTGGGCTATATCACAGAAACAGGTTTTTAAACAGCTTACAGTATAGTCTGCAAGTTTATGTTTACGTGTTTGGTCATTTACGCGGTGCCTTGCCAGAATGAAATGTTTTAATTACGCTGTAAATTTCATCATTTACGTGGTGAGCGGCTGGAGAGGTACAGATGCGCGCCATTTTTACTCACGGGGTCCATTCTTGACCATCTGGCGGAAGCGGCGTGAGGTGCGTGATAGGTCACTCTTACTTTATCCTGACGTCATATGATATTATCGGACTGTGATTGGGCCATGCATCCTTACCACCCGCATTCCTCCGCCGCTAGCTGTGATTGGTCTAATGTAACATGATGTGCCCTGCACCAGAAGTCGCTGACCTAGCCGGCCCAATCTATTTTTCTTAGTCCGCTATACAGTTCTCTCTTGTGCCCGCTATTCCCTCACAATGGCTTCCGCTGGACCCACACCCCAGAAAAACCTTGATTACCTGGACCAAGCCATGATTGTGTGAAGGAAATCATCGAGTTGGGGAGAAAATTAAGCTCATCCCTGACAACGACCCAGACAAGCATCAGTATGAAGCGTCTAATTACCATCTGTCGAAAGTTTGTGAGCCGTATATCCAGATCTATCTCGACAACATCAATGCTAGTCGTCAGCACGTAGTAGGACTTCTTCGCCGCAACCCACCACACCACAGCCAGCCTAAGTCAGTGATAGTGACAGTGAGGATATGGACTTTGAGGGTTTGTCTGGGAGGCCCTGTAAACCTCTGCGGTAGTGAAAGTGATTCACTAGAGGCAACTAATCTGCCCTCTACCTCGGAACTCAACCGCCATCCATGTGCCGACCATCTTTTCTACTAACGTAAGTGTTAAAAACCTAATATTATTGATATTTCTCTTAAATATTAGTTGTGTGTGCATACCATCATAAAATTAAGATGTTTTTTTTACTACAACGTACGTATTGTGTCGGAAAAAGCGGAGTTTGGGGGTCGGCCCAGTCTCTATTTCAATTAATCTCATATGTTCTGTTATTTCGTTTCTGGCGTTTCTCGTTTTACGCGGACCTCCATGGGTTCAATTGACAGCGTAAATGCAGACTATACTGTATATGAATAATCTGTACCAGGTTTTGGACATGCTCATCAGAACGCACAATTTACACCACTATTACCTTGCAAAATATTAATTTTCTACTTTTCTTCTATAGCTACATTTTGCAAAATGTGTGCTTTATAATGGAATAAATTTAATATTGCAATCACATGAAACAAAGGTATAAAGCGATGTATAAAGTTTACATTAAGCATAAACAATTGTTTTTTCTTCGTGCTAATAATAATTATTTTATAATGATTACTTTTATAAAACTATTTGTAGATAATTTATTGACAATGCTAATGCTCTAAACCCCACCTTTTTATCTCAAATAGCAAGTTTACTACAACTCATTGCGTTCAATTATCTCTCATGTGGTTCAGTCAAGTGCGGTAAGGTGAGTATCCAGCCAGACCCTAAGTGTCCCCCTGGAGAGCACCTCCCAAGAGGTATTATTCTGCAATGTTAGTCAATATCAGGTGATCCAGAAGACCACGAGACATTGTTCTTGCCACGTCTGACAAAAGAAAACAATTGCAAGGCAATATCCAGTTGTCCAGAGTACCCTCAGACATTCACCTTGCCATGTCTGGCAAAAGGAAAATCTTTGCATTGCTAATAAGCCCCAAAATTGAGTTACTTCTTCTATGTCTTCATCAAAAAGCCTGGCACCCTTCTGGGTGTTTCCTTGAATTATTTATTTTTATTTATATATTTTGTTTGGCTATATCGTTTATCTTTTGGAGAACTATTAAAACCAAAACTACTAAAAACAGTAAGGGCAAACTGCTGTAATGTTATGAACTTGCTCCACCCCGTTTAGTGACGTCATGCGAGCAACACGTCATCTGATGACCAGATGGCGATGTTACCTCGGTTGACGTTTATTTATTTTAGAATACTTTAGGCTAAAGAGCTTTCCTGTGGCCTGGTATAACAAAATACCAGGCCACATACTGGTATTTTGTTATACCAGGCACAGAAGCCTTAGCGCCTGATAAAACAATCAACAAATTTAACATATCTGGTCATCAGGCTTGAAACGTTACAACCTAAATCACAAATGAGGTGACCTTAAAGTTCATAACATTCCAGATCTCCTGATTTTAGTCCTTAAACTAACACCAGTAGGTCACCATATACGTACAAAGAAGTAAGATGTGGTAAGGAAATATTATATCAATTGGCACACTGGAATGAGCAGTTAAGTCAGTTGAAACCAGGGCTTAAGTTTTTATAAAATTTGGAGTACAATATTCCTATAATTTCAGGATTAGTTAACTTAAGTGTCATTAGTTTCACTATTGCAGTACAATTATAGGACTAGTTCATCTTAATGTACTAAAGCCTTGACAAAAGTATACTTACCTGACATTGAGACTGTCTGATGGGTTGAATGGGCACATATAGTGCAATGCCTTTAGGTGAAATTTTCAATTCCCTTGCTATATGGTCCTTGTCCTGAAATAACAAACATTCCCCCCAAAAGGTAAAAATATCAGGAATTTTTATATCTATCTGTACTAACAGTTAAATGTCCACAAGAAACTACAGTTTTCTCTTGCTGTATTTTAATATTTTTATGACCATAAATTTGTCCCAGCTGTATTGAATATTTTCTAACCACGTTGACAGGATTACCACAAGGAAGTTCACTGGCTGGGACTTACACATGAATTACTATCACCATCCCTTTATAAACCAAAACACTAGAGAAAGAACCAAAAAGCTATCATTAAAGGTTGACAATTCATCAGTTGCAGTCCATGCTACTTACAAGCCACACATACTAGTGGCCTCCAAATTCCTAACTAGCATCGTTGCTGGGTCCACCCTCCCCCCACCCACCTCCCAAAATATAATAACTAGGATATTAATTGGTGGTCAAACAATATGTAAAATCAACACTACCCTTAACATCATAGCATGGATAAATATGTTCTCTTGGTGGTCACGGACAAGTAAACTCGTACTGTGTAAGAGTGGCAGTGTTGTTCACAGACTTTAATATTATGAAATGAATGGAGATTGCTTTATCGTGTTCAGATGTGTATCTCACAGCTCATCCTAGCCTGCCTGCACCACCGTGTGGGTTATACAACCTGATTATAACCCAGCCTCAGTCACGAGTTTCAATCGTTGCGAGTTCACTTCGTTCAATCAACCAGGACAAGACTGAAGATATTATTTTGATGAGAGTAGCAGTGATATTGATAACAAAGCCACTTCTGATGAAAGTGATTTGACAAACAGTAAACACAAAACCCAGATTACATTCAGGGAAATACTTGTACTGAAAGTGAGGAAAATGTGGAATGTGATGAGGAAAGTGAGGAACCACGTGTGAATAATGTAGTGTGTGTATATATATATATATATATATATATATATATATATATATATATATATATATATATATATACACACACATATATATATATATATATATATATATATATATATAATATATATATATATAATCTTACACGGAGTCACATGTGGTTCCTCACTTTCCTCATCACATACAATTTGGTAATGACCCAATTTGAATTCATGAACAAGTTTAAGTGTAAGGCAAAATCAAACCATTCTGTTTCACAGGGTTGCCCAGTGTGACTCAGTCCGTCTTTAACACAACATGATCACCATAGCAAGTATACCTGACCCATAGAGGAATAGTGAGATGAATGTATTAAGTTACTTTGTGAGATAAACTGGTCTTTGAATCTATGTAACACCCATAATGGTGTTCACCCCCAAAATAAAGGAATATTAGCTTCAATATCCTTCAACCATTTAAATACCCCAGGGAAAACTTACTTTATATATAATTGTCTCGACTCCATATCTCTGGCGCTGGATGATATTGAGGAATTTACGTTGAGCCTCTTCCTTGGACATACCACGCAGGGCGAGGTAGTGATGCACAGCTTTCTCTGCTATGAATGGTACCTGTTTATTGATTTTGAATTTCTGTGGATTTACAAATAAACATTATTAGACATTTATTCAGTAAAATCATCACATAACTTTACATTGATTCAGCAAATAAACATTAAAGGTATAAGCAATGCAGGTATACAATATACAGTATAGTCTCGATTTACGCGGTCAATTGAACCCGTGGAGGTCCGCATAAAACGAGGAACGCGTAAACGAAATAACAGAACATATGGGATTAATTGAAATAGAGACTGGACCAACCCCAGACTACACTTTTTCCGACAATACGTACCTTGTAGTAAAAATAACATCTTAATTTTATGATGGTATGCACACACATATAATATATAAATAAGAAACTACACTACTGTACAGATATACGAGAAATATAAAGATGTTTAACACTTCATTTAGTAGAAGAGATGGGTCGGCACACGAGGATGGCGGCTGGTTCCGAGTCAGAGGGCAGACTAGTGGCCCTCAGGTGAATCACTTGTATCACTATTCACAGAGGTTTACAGGGCCTCCCTGACAAACCACTCAAAGTCCATATCGTCACTATCACTGACTTGGGCTGCCTGTGGTTGTGGTGGGTTGCGGCTAAGAACTCGGTAATGTTACGTTGACAACTAGCATTGATGTTGTTGTGATACATCTGAATATACGGCTCCATAGATGCAGCAACAGAAGGTTATTGGTAACTTCATAGCGGTGATTCACTGGGTCTTTTGAAAGGATGAGCTTGACTTTCTCGACATACTCGATGGCCTCCTTTACATCACTATGACTTAACCTTTGTTCTCTTTTCTGCCGCATCACCTGCCTCCTCACTGACGTCATCATCTTCCAACATCTCGTCAGCAGTCACCTCAGGAACCCTGATTACCTCATGATGTCGCCGTTGGTGGTCTCGAGAAGCTTGCAGCTGAAACACTTTGTGCAGTTTCTTCGCAAGGTCCACTGCCACTGCAAACAGACTGAACCTCACCAGCCACAGGTTGCCTCTTCCTCCCACCTGGGTTCCTTCTAACATGCCGCAACGCTGCGAACGGCCCACAGACAGCTCCCCATGCTCCAACCCCAAGAAATCAACAGCTTTCGAAGTTGAATTTCTTTCCAAAACTGCTTGACGCACTTCATGCTCCGCCGCAACCTTGTTCTGGATCCTCGCCCTCGCTATCGGGTGCCACTCAGAAGGTTCCACAATTCATCCTTGGTGTTGATCAAGTCATTCAGGACCAAACTTCTTTAAGGAGAAAAGAACCTTGACGTTGTAAATCAACTTTGATCCATGGGATGGATTAACGACGTAGTGTTAAGGGAAGGAAGACCACTTTTACATTGGGGTGACAATCCAGCAATAAAGGCGAGTGTCCTGGTGCAATATCAAGGAGCAACAAAATGTTAAATGGAACATTATGTTGCTCGCAGAATTTCTTTACGTCAGGAACGAAACAGTCGTCAAACCAGGAGAGGGAGAGACCAGTGAACATCCACGCCTACTAAGGTTAGCCAGTGGACATTTAGCTTGGTCATGTCCATGTTTTTATAGGCTTGTGTTCTTTTATCTTGGCAGCATCCTTCTTCATCGTCCGGATCGTAGATTCGTTCACGCCATGCTGGCGCCAAATCAACTTGTCTCGTTCCTTTCTCCAACTACCTGAACGATTTTACCGTCACTTCATTGCTTAAGGCGCGTCGTATCTTCTTTGCCTTTGGGCAACTGGGTCCAGGTAGTTCAAGGTTTCTCAGGGGTGGAGGGGGTCCAGATGAAGCCATTGTTGAGGGGATTAGCGGGCACAAGAGTGAATGAGACTGGCGCAGCTAGTGAGCGACTTTATTCTCTGGTGGCAGGGCACGCTGGTACATTATAACCAATCACAGCTAGCGGCGGAGGAGGTAGGATGCGCGGCCCAATCACAGTCCGCCGATACGCATATGACGTCAGCGATAACATGGCTTATACTGCGCACCTCCCCGCGCCGCTTCCTGCATATGGTCAAGAATGTATAGCGTGAACTAATAATTGGCGCTTCTGGACCTTAGCGCATCCTGCTTGCGCCGCTGCCTAGTAAATGATGGAATGTACCGCCTGAACTGATAATTGGCGCTTCTGGCCATGTGCCGCGTAAATGACCAAACGCCAGGGAAATCACCGAAATCAAACTACAGTATAGTCTTGATTTACACGGTTTTGGTTAACACGTTTGGTCATTTACGCAGTGCCTTGTCAGAGTGTAAATGCTTTAATTATGCGGTAAATTTGGTCATTTACGCGGACAGCGGCTGGAGGTCCAGATGCTCCACGGCATTTTTTATTCAAGCGGTCCATTGTCGGATCATACGCAGGAAGCGGCGGTGAGTGGTGCGATAGGCCGCTCATACGTTATCGCCGATGTCATATGATGTATCAGACTGTGATTGGGCCACGCATCCTTACCACCCATGCATTCCCTCCGCCTCTAGCTGTGATTGGTCTAATGTAACATGACCTGCCCTGCCACCAGAGGGTAGAAGTCGCTGACCTAGCAGGGCCTGTCTCATTGTTCTCAGTCTGCGACAGTTCTTCTTGTGCCCGCCCCTCACTTATGGCTTCCGGGACCCCCATCACAAGAGAAAAACATTGAATTACCTGGACCAAGCCAGATTGTGTGAGGAAATCATCGAGTTGGGGAGAAAATTAAGCTCATCCTGACAACGACCCAGACAAGCATCGGTATGAAGCGTCTAATAACCATCTGACGAAATTTATGGAGCCAGATATCCAGATCTATCTCGACAACATCAATGCGGCCAATGTAGTATTGAGGACTCCTCGCCACGAACCCACCACAACCACAGCCAGCCCAAGTCAGTGAATAGTGATATTGACAGTGAGGATATGGACTTTGAGAGGTTTGTCTGGGAGGCCCTGCAAACCTCGAGTAGTAGTGAAGAAAGTGATTCACCGAGGGCAACTAATCTGCCCTCTGCTCGGATCCAGCCGCCATCCACGCAGTTTAATCCAGCTTTTCTACTAACGTAAGTGTTAAAAAACCCTAATATTATTGATATTTCTCTTAATTATTAATTGTATGTGCATACCACCATAAAATTAAGATATTTTTACTACAACGTAGGTATTGTGTCGAAAAAAGTAGTGTTTGGGGGTCGGCCCAGTCTCTATCTCAATTAATCCCATATGTTGTTATTTCATTTACACGTTTCTCGTTTACGGCCTCCACAGGTTCAATTCACCGCGTAAATGCAGACTATACTGTATATTAAATCACTGTAATATATTACTGTATTGTACTGTAATTTTTTTTCATGGCAATGGTCTTTGTCTTCAGTTTTGGAATGGCGTGCCTCATAAAGTTTGCCGCCTTCTTTGAACACACTGTTATTGGCCTTGATCTGAAAATACTGTATACTCAGAAATAAGTGAACATGGACAATGATCATTTCCATGAGGCAGATAACAGGATTTCAAACAGAGAACACATTAAAACACCTACATTAATAATGGGAAAATCCACTTACAAATAATCAGAGAATTTTTTAAAATGTTGCATCTACCCTGAACTCCATTCCGTGCTTTGTCAAATTAATGAAGTAGACTTGAAGGTAGACACAACATTTTTAATAAATTTTTCTGATTATTGGTGAGAGGATTTTCCCATTATTATTTATTTGTAGGTGTTTTTGTTTGCCTACACACACACACACATATAGTCGACTCACAACTTATGCAGGGGTTACGTTCCTGGGACCCCATGTAAAGCCAAAAACAGCGTAATGTTAGAAACACTCCTAAAAATTCATAATCGCCCTAAATCACTATATATACATACATATACACTCAGTGCCTTCTCCCTGAGCACGTTGCCATCGATGGGGACACGTTTCCGGTTCATATCCTCCACCCAGATGTTTAATGCCTTCTCCACCTTCACTAGAGTTATGTCTCTAACCTGGCTAGTCACCTTAGCAGCAAATGAGGCACTTGTAGACACGGTTTCACGAATTTCCCTCCCCGAATGTTGATGGATCTCATGTTTGATTCGTTCCACCCGAACCTCCTTGCCACAGCAGCGATTGACATGCCGCCATTTATTAAGTCTAACACAGCTACTTTTTCTTCCAGGGTCATCACAGAGCATTGTTTCTTCGCTGGAGGACCAGAGGCAGAGGTTGGCTTGTGTTTGGGCATTATGAACGAGTATGAGAGAGGTTTAAGTGCACTAAATTGACACACACACGAGAGGCAGGTGTTACTCTAACGATACACGCGAGGCAACTGAAACAGACAGAGAGGGCAGGGTGGTGTGTTTGGAGGGCTTGTCCCATTTTGAAAGTTTTGAGCTTGAAATTGTAAGTGGTGTATAGCTGAAACCGCGTAAGTTGAGAGTCTACTGTACAATACACTGTACAGGTAAAAGAAATAATTGTCCTAAGGGCAAACACAAAGGGAATAGCCATTTTGAGAAACCTAACCCCCACAAATTTGAAGGGCATGCAGTACATTTAAAACTGGTTTTTGCCTTACCTTTGGAAGAGGGTAGCGTGCTTTAAGATAATTAGCTGTATGATACGGTTGATAGTCTCCAGCTTCAACTGTTGGAGATACAAATTAGAATTAAAACTTTATGGCTTATGGATCATCATGAAGTTACTTACAAGTTCCATACCAGTAAAATACTCTCTGGTTGATAATTAACTGTGGGCAAAGCTTTCTCTGCAAGTACTGGGGATCCCTGCTTACTGTCATACTGTACATTCATGCAAAGTGCTACAGGTACCCTAAATTTAAAAAAGATACACAGAACAAATTTTCCAACAAAAAATAATGTAAAAAGGTGGGGGTTATGTTCTGCGGGGAATAAATGCAACAAATACGTCACCAATATCAAACGGACTCGAAACTTCCAAATGTATCCAAACTACTAATTTTTTTCTTGCTATAGGTTGACAACCCTTTATCCGAAATTCCAAAACCATAAAGCTCTACAAACCGAAAGTTTTTTTTTTTGTGGGCATATTTATTTATTATTTTTTTTTTATGATTAGACCACCGGGCAGATCACTGACCCACATCGGGGCCTGGGGGGCGAAAATATAATAGTAATAATAATAATAATAATTATTCCTGGGGGCGAAAATATAATAGTAATAATAATTATAATAATTATTCTAAGTAAATAAAAATGTTAATAAAAAATACACCAAAATAAAATAATAATAATAATAATAAAATACAGTCAACCCTCACTTTACGAGAATGTAACCCAGGTACCAGGAAAGTGAGAAACGCGTAAAGTGAATAGCATAACATATGATTAATTGAAATAGAGACCGGCCACCCCCAAACTCAACTTTTGACGACACACAACTATTGTAAAAAAATATTATCTTAACTTTATGATGGTATGCACACACAATTAATAATTAAGAAATATCAATAATATTAGGTTTTTAACACTTACATTAGTAGAAAAGATGGCTGGGCACACGGGATGGGCAGTTGGTTCGAGGCAGAGGGCAGATTATTGGCCCTCACCTGTATCACTTGTATCAATTGTGTCACTAACCACCACAGAGGCTTGCAGAGGGCCTCTTTGTCAAACTCCCCCAAAGTCCATATAAGTCCATATCCTCACCATAATTATCACTTATCACTACTTAGGCCGGCTGTGGGTGGCGGGTGAAGAACCTCGGTAATGTTTTGATGACTGGTTGACTTTTGTAAGACCATGTTCGCCCATTTACACAACATGGCGGATGGCGGGAGGTTGGATCCAAAATGGCGCGGCTCGCCAGCCGCCTCCGCGTAAAGGGCACACGCACAGCGGAATGTGCGCATCCTGGGTTCCGGCAGGGCACCGCGTAAACGTGGAATGTGGGACCGCGTAAAGTGAGGGTTGACTGTATAATAAAATTAATAATAATAATAACAATAATACTGCAATAATAAAATAATAATAATAATAAAGAAATACAAGAATGAAAAAAACATCAAAAGTGAGAAACACGACCTAGACCTATGAATTGTTATTATTTTTATAATTTGTATTATATTTTCGCCACCCAGGCCCCAATGTGGGTCAGTGACTTGTGCCCAGGTAGGCTTAAAAAAAAAAAAAAAAAAAAAAAAAAAAACATTATGAAAACCGAAATTTGAAATCCGAAATGCCTCTGGCCCCAAGGATATCGGATAAGGGATTGTCAACCTGTACTTGGCAGTGCCCTGACACTTGTATCTACAGTATAAGCTAGGCAACCGCTGGCATTCTTATCACTGTGGGTAATTGAGGCACCATAGTGCTGGCACCAGTCTGGTAACAGTTCAAAAGTTTTCAATCAACTGACGGTTAGTATATCTCGGGGACCATTTGGTGTGACAGGACTCTAAATGTGAAAGCACCTCACTTTTGAAGAGCATTGTGAGGGATGAATCATATACTTTAAGAACACCCTTCTTATAATACCTACTAGCTTAGGTAGTTGTTTGGTTCACAAACTTTTCAAAATGTTCCAAACTAAAGTTCATTATCAGCACACAGGTCCTTTTCACATTGTCTCAGTTCATGCTTTCTTACTGTTTGTACAACTTAGGTGCATTCTCTTGCCTTTTGTGCCATTAATCATCACACACTACTTGCAGTCATGGAGAGTCTCTGATCCATACCAAGATGCTCCCCTGAATACTGTACCCTTCCAGTTTAATTTCCAGCCTTTCATGTGGTAGATATAGCAGGAGCTTGAAGGAGGTTTCCTCTGATGTCTAGAGTCCCCATCCTATGATCAGTTTTAAATGGAGGAATTTATGCAGTCTGAAGTAGCTAGGTTCTGGTCTTAGGTCTAGCAAAAGACAACATATCCAGACCAATTGAATCCTGTAAATTTTCAGTGAAGAATCTCTGCTCCACCATACTCCCTTAGTTTGTTCAATTCAGTTTTTGTCCTTAGCAACCCTATGCTTGACCAGTTCTCCTTAAAAGGTGATCTTCTGAGGATAGTGACAGGTTGTTAGGGATCTGGTGTTCCAACAGGAGAATCCTATAAGTAGGTAGGTCACTTGTCTAGGACTGAGGTGACAATTACTGATTAGGTCATGGTAGTGACCAAATGCAGTGCTTAACTGAGCAGAGGCATGGAAAAGCTTCAATGTAATAAACCTCATTCATGCATGGAACAAACTCTTGAAAGGTACCGAGATTGAGGTGGACTTTGCCGGGTTTAGGTCCGATGATTTTGTGACCAAATTAAAAGGTGGTGAGACCAGGATGTCAGAGGATAACATTGTGGATTGCCTTGAGCGGGATAAGGACGAGTTGGGATTTCGCCATTACACAAGAAGAGGAAATTGCTGCTAGTGTCTCTCAGGAAGGCATAGAAGAACCAAGCAATGACAGTGCAGATGAAGACTCACTCAGCACCAAGCCCACTTGGAGTAGGCCTTGGAGGCAGTTAAGCAGCTGCCTGATTTGGAGCAGCACTATGCAACCTTGAGAGATGTCAGGACCGATGTTTTCAAGTGTCAACGCAGCAACTATAAACAGGGGAAAATATTGGGCATTTTTAAACCTCAGTCAGAGACCCAGACAGCATCAACCTTCCACCAGCACTGATGACTGGGCCCTCTGGGTACTCTTCCTCAGACACCACTTCCACCTTCCTACGCATTAGCCCAGAACCACCACAACAATCGTTTTCAACAGACAATGATTAAACTAACATTGACAGTGATAACCTAACTGTACAGTATGTAAGCATAATTAAATTTTTCAAGAGATCATTAAGTGAATTGCATTTTACATTCAGTGGAATATTTCACTCGTAAACATGTAGAGTAGTGTTTAAGTGAATACAAATGGCACCACAAGCTTGAATTAACCTCATTCTATGCCTGCTGTGCATATAAGTTTTTTTTTAAGTTTTCTGATCATGGTAGGTTATTTTGGCCAAAAAGTTGGGTACTGGGGTAGGACAAAGGACAGGGAGGAAAGGTTCTTCATAACTCTGAATGGTTACATCCCAATATATTCTGAGTTATCAAGAGTTTACTGGTCATTTCTAATATATATTTACAATGTTTAAAAAATCCTGAAACTGTAAATGAATTTCAAACTCGGACTCACAAGTGAATTGATGAAACGTACCAATGCCAAAGGTACGATAAATGTCTATACAGTATGAAAATCAGTATATATATATATATATATATATATATATATATATATATATATATATATATATATATATATATATATATATATATATATATATATATATATATATATATATATATATATATATATATATATATATATATATATATATTTTTTTTTTTGGCTATAAAATTCATACAAATTACCCGCCAGAATATAATTTACATTGCTGAATTCTTACAATATGATGATTATTTTGAATATAAACATCATGGATTTTGCATACGACATACAAATTTTAGATCTAATGTAAAATTTGGTTTACACAAAGCAAATATTTTATCTTTTAGCAAAATATATGAAGTTTACATTCAAAATATTCCCTGACCTCAAGGAATCCAGAAATGTCAATTACATTATCCTAACTTTAGTCTGAGGTATTATTTATTACTTAACGTTAAAATCTAGTGTTTTCACCCAAATATTTTTCAGAGGTAGAGCTAGTGAGCTGGGAAGAGGGGGGATTTGAGTCCATTATTTGAATGGACATTAACCTGGCAACTGTATTTCTCTTAAATATTAATTGTGTGAGCATGCCATCATAAAATTAAGATGTTATTTTACTACAACATAGGTATTGTGTCGGAAAAAGTGGAGTTTGGGGGTCGGGCCAGTCTCTGTTGGAATTAATCCCATGTTCTGTTGTTCACTTTACGCAGTTTTCACTTTCAGTGTACCTGTGGGTTCAATTGACCACGTAATCGAATGTGTGTGTGTATGTATATATATATATATATATATATATATATATATATATATATATATATATATATATATATATATATATATATATATATATATATATATATATATATATATATATATATATATATATATATATATATATATATATATATATATATATATATATATATATATATATATATATATATACACACACACACTACACGGATCACCTTCATGACTCCACCCATGATACTTCACAGTAAAATACAATACAGCTTCCAGTTTACAAACAAATGACGTGCTTTTCACAAAACCACCTAACACTGTGATCACACCTATAGTCCACTGGAGCATCCACCCAACAGGTTACCTGAAAATGTAGCTTGTAAATAGGAATAGGACCATCAGCCCCACAACTAAATTCCTGAAGAGCTACCATGGTCACAATTCTCAAAGAACAAGTGGCTTACCTCATACTCTTGCTAGCTCTAAACATACATAGCACTGAGGAGAGTATACATATGAATTCTCGGACAAATAACACACCCAAAGTGATCTGTACTTAGCAGTGGACTCGTACAGCATCACTGCATGAACGGGTCATGTTTACGTCACAGGCGTGAATGCGTCCAGGCCAACAATCTCAGCGGCTAGCTGAGCTTGGCTGCGAGCCTGTGGGTGAGATCTGCCACTGTGTTG